CTCCCCCCTCCCCCGGGGTTGGATAACGAACGTTAAACCAGTTGAAATACACTTTTTCAAAACGTGTCACGGTAATTGAGCGAGGAGAAGAGGGCAAAACAGGGGGGTTGAACGAGTGTAATTACGAGCGCAACCGATTCGGGCGCTTTTACGACGAGAGGAAACTGGACGACGACCCCGTGTCCAGTAATAAACTTTGTAAAACCATGTTCAACTTTCGAAGGAAATAGCGTGGAAATGTTAAAACGGTGATAATCAAAAAAAGAAAAAAATCGGTGAAATTAACGCGAATTATTCACGAATTTAACTTACGAATAAAAAGCAATAAAAATTCCTCAGATATGAAAGTGTTTCAAAACTTTCGTTTCATCTTAAATATCAACATTTCTATTTTAAAATAAAATAAAATAAAATAAATTTTTGCCTCGAAGAATTATATCGCACGTAAATTTCATCAGAATTCAAAAGAAAAAAAATGATGTGTTCTTTAATTAATCCATCACGATAATAATTCTGCTCCGGTGTAGAATTCTGGAGGAGCGTGAAAACGAGAGACCCTCCCCCCTCCCAAATCTGTTCACCTGTACGTTCGAAGAAACGTGTCCCGTCTATCTAGAAATTAGGGTGAGCACAAAGGAAGAGATGTAAGCCGGTTTTATTGCTTCGAACGGGGAACATCACGAGATCACGGAAGCGCTATAAACGAGTGGCACGTATCTCGGGTCGAAATATTGCGCGCTACGTTAACAGTGCTCTGAAGTATCGCCACTGTTGACAGAGAAGAGAAAGAGAAGAGGCGGAAAAGACGAATGTTTGAGAGATAGGGCGAAAACGAGGATGGGAGAAAACCGCGAGGTCGTTAAACTTTTGGATCGAGCTCGCGCGAAAATAAGCCGAGAACACTTGGAATTCTTCCTGAAAGAATTCTCGAAATCCATCGAAAATTATCCCACGAATTTCTTTTCCTTCCGGATTCGAAATTCCGGAGAACTAAGAATTGATTGGATCAGATCGATGAAACAAATCCTTCCAAACAATTCTGGCGATGTCGCCAATTGGCAATATTTCCCTCTTCTATTCTATCCAGGGAAAAAATTACGAAGAAACATTTTTTTATTATATCGCTATATCTTATGTGTCTGGAATATTCGAATGTATGGCGGAGTCGGTTCAATTCTTCTCCGAATCGATTCTTTTCGAATTCGTTTCGACAAAGAAGAAAGACCCATGCGTTGTCCTTCGATAAATTAATTTCCGACGAAAGATTTCAAGTAGGAAAAAAAAACTTGAATGAAACGATTGCTTTCCTCGAAACAGCTCGAACAGTTATCGAGTAAACAGGAGAGTGTGTCAAGATCGACGGGATCCCGGACGGGGCGGAAGAAGGGAAGAAGCCGACAAAGCTCGAAAGAAGAAAAGTTACGGCAGCGTCTAGTGGCTGGTGGAACAAAAGGTGTATATCGGTTGGTTATACCTCTTGTACAAGTTGCGAAAACGTAACGAGCCACTTGGCCACGTTGCATATTCCTCTGCCTGGATATTGTCCATTATATTTCGCCCATCCTTGTTACGTAAAATCTACGACCCGCCATTTCCCTAATTAAAACAAGCTCGATTGTCCATTTCCATCCTGCTCTTTCATTTATCAACTTCGAGAGTGTTTCTTCGCTCTAAAAATTCGATCCATCTATTTACATTCTTCTAAGAATGATTTTTTTGTTCCACAATTGAACAGGGATTATATATGGATTAATCGTTTCTCGTTGCGTTTACGGAGATGAGGGGAACAAGGAAGGAAAGAAAGAAGGAAAGAAAGAAAGGAAGGGATCCATTTGGAAGATATATTCTTTATTTTGCTGGAGAAGCAGAGACGAGGGACGATTCTCGCGAGAGGCAAGAAGTGGGAGAACGACAGGAAACGCGGATAATTTCCTTATTATCACCGTGGACGGTGAATTCCAGATTTATTAGCGGTGCTTGTGCAATAGCCTATTCGAATCGGCCGCGAGGGTAATGATTTAATGCCACTAAAATCAATTCTAATCCATTTACGAGACCTAATTTTCCCTAGTGGAAAATAACCTTCTCGATCCTGGTATTTATCCCGTAAGCAATTCCAATTTCTTCCACTTTCTAAAAAAAAAAATCTATTCCCATAGCGTAAATACCCTCACTTTTTTACTCCAGAGATAAATAATTATCTCTCTCTACCCAAAGTATACGAAAAAAATAAATAAATACGTCAAAAATAAATTTTGCGAAATTTTTAATAAATATTTTTCCCTCCCTAAAAAAGACAACAATTACTCGCGATTACTACTAGAATGAACGTTAAATTTCTTCCGAATCTTCTTGGTTATCCACGATAAATATTTCGTAATCGACGTGAAAACGAACGGCGGAGTATCGATCGAAAAGCGGGTGTCCAAAAATAGCGGAAACGGAAATGGTTTCGGATCTTGGATGACTCGCGAGAGAAACCGACTTCGTTGTCCATTAATAAAGAGGATCGTATAAAAGGCCTCGAGAACGGTTTAAATTCGTCGTATGAGCACGCTGGAGGCCTTGGCACGGAGTCGAACGTGACAATCGTAAAACCGATGTCGTGTTTCGTGTGGATAACGCGTGTTAAACGGCGTACGAGCATATTCTCCGACTTACCTCGCGAAGCTCCTTGATCTTTAAACCTCCCTTGCCGATTATGCATCCGGCTTGGCTCTGATGCACCAGCATGCGCACGTCGATCTCGTCGCTCCCGTGTCGAGACCCATTCTGAAAATCCATTTCCAACATTTACTTTCTTGTCTTGTCTTGTTACGCGTTGTTGAATATATACTTTGGCAACACTGCCGTGCTCGTTTTGAATGGCTCTCGTCGTACACGGGTAAATTTCGCTTATCTTTCCTTTTTTATTTATTTATTTATTATTTCTTTTTTTAATTTTTCCAACAATCTTTAGTCGTTTTACGTTGAATACCGTTGTTCGTATTTCAAGTTTATGTTAATCGCTGATCTTCGAACGGATAATAAATATTCATAAGATCGTGCGTTCTTTGGAACGTGACTCTATATCTATTGTCGCCATGTTTGTCGTTAAATCGGATGCATCGATCGTTCTACTTATGGAAACGCTA